AAGCTGGCTGAATACTATAAACAAGAAACTTATGCGGACTCCTCAAACTTTGTTTCTATAATCCAGTACTGTACTGCTTATGAAAGCCAATTAATTGGTCATTTTAATCTGGCATAGATTCAATGGTGTGTTTTGAAAATACACCATGTCCTATGCTACTGAGTTCTGGGCTATCTCCAAGGCTGTAACATTCCTGTGTATCGGTGTATAAAAATGATATTTTTTAAAAAATTGATTTTTTTAAAAATTTAAAACGGATTTTTTTAAAATTCAAATTGGATTTTTAAAATTTTTATTTTAATAAAATGCTTTTGGAGTAAAAAATCTAAAGGTAATTTTCTATTTAAGATACATTAATAATTCAGTTTATTCAGCATGAAATGGAGCTTAGTTATGTAGCATGAGCAGAGGTTGGTTGCTATTGGTTCGCACTGGTTCGGGCAAACCGGTAGTGGTATTTTGGCCTTGGTCGCAGAACTGGCAGCAACCCAGGCTGGCCATGCCCCCAAACCGGTTCCCTGGTCGCTGCAGCCATTGCCGGCATGTTTTTTAGTAATTTTTTCATGTTCTGCACATGCGCAGCACAATTTACAGTCAACTGCGCACAGCGAGCCGGCAGCAACCCACCCCTGAGCATAGGGCTGTATATTCTGCAATATTTATATTTTTGGTAAACTCATTCAATAAATCCAAGCTCTGCAAGCTAAATAGGAATCCTTCATTTTGTTTGCAAATAATAATATTAAAGATTCTAACTATCTACAATAATGAGTCCTTACATTTAAAGAGCACCTGTCATTTCAGATCCATCAGGCAGCGCACGTTAGCGGGCATCCACTCACCTGCTGCCTGCCACATCCCTCACCTTTTTGTGTCACTTCCGTATCACTAGCCATCCCATTTAAGTGAATGGGACTGTCAGTGAGTCAACAGTAGGTCAAAAGAAGAGCTACTGTGGGGCAGAGATAACAGTTGCTCTTTAAAAATTAGGATTTAAATCGACTTGATTTCAATGAAGCCTTTTTACTAGTGATTTAAATTGTGATTTAAATCGACTTGATTTAAATCAAATCCACTCTGCTGTGTATTCTATAAATAAAAATTGAGCAGGCTGAGTTCAGGCCTCAAAATGTGTTTTAAAAATGGGGTAATATCTTATTAAAACTTTAAATCCCTTCTCTAGGAATTTTGTCATCGTGAGTTTCATTTTTTATAACAAAACTTGCACATTCTATTGATTTACATGTCTAATGAACATAAACTGTACACAGATAATATGGTGTTTTATTACACAATGATTCATGTTGCAGCCACCATATATGGATAAGTCAGCTCTGTTTCCACCTATAGGTGACATTAATACAGGTAGTCCTCAATTTACAACCACAATTGAACCCAAAATGTCTGTTGCTAAATGAGACATTTGTTAAGTGAGTTTTGTCCCATTTTACAAACTTTCCTGCAACTGTTAAGTGAATTATTTAGGTGTATCTGGCTTCCCCATTAACTTTGCTTGTCAGAAGGAGGCA